TGAATTTATCCCAACTCATCTCTTCCACCTTATGCCAATTCGTAACCGTCTTCCACCAAAGCTTGGCATCCTTAGCAAACTTGTAAGTTACTAGGATGATCTTCAAGTGATCCTCTGTCACATCCATTGAGGTCAACTGAGTTTCAACTTGATCCATGTAATCATCTACTACCATTGGATCTACACCGCCCTCAAATATAACTGGCATCAGCTGAGAAAACCCCTTAATGATCTTGAGATGCTTCTGAGTTGGCGTCTCCTCTACTTGAACTATAGGTTGTGGTGCCGGCTGCGGCTGAGCAACAATTGTTACCCTGAAGGCACTTTGCAACAAACGATTCAACACTAGTTTCGCAGAACCTTCACCCACTTCTACGGGTGCTTCAACATTATCCCTCCTTGTGGGGACACCTCTCAGGCGAATCAAATCTCTAAGAAGTGTGTCCTCATTATTTAGCTCCTCCGGATTGGAGTTGGAGCTCTCGCCAACATCACCCTTAGTTGGCCTACGGCCAACTTCCCTGAATTCCTCACGCCGTGACATCGTGCTATAAAATGAGAAAATGGTTCAATAACAAGACACTAAGGTCCACTGTGGTTGACTCAACATGAAATGATGCCGTAACGACACTTAGCATGCAAAACTATATAAGAAACATTTTACCATAAACATTTAAGCACGTAAGCACATAAGCAGTTAAGCATGCTTCTTTAGGTAATAAGCAAGTAGCAAAAAGTCACATAAACAATGTAATCAATATCCCATGCAATCCTATGTAGGCCTCTACCCGTCGTCCTATAGGTTTTCAAACCATCGCTCTGATACTATTTCTGTGACGACCCGGACCCGGAGGTCGGAAACCGTTAGCCGGGTCCTTACTCAAACCCGAGGTCATCTATGTCAAACCCATCATTTCTAGAGGTGTGATGACACTTATAGGATCATAACTAGGCTTTCACATTGGCTCAAATCAAATCCCCAAGGATCAAGAGTGGAGAAACAAGTGAGGAAGACCAAAGCAACCCAAACAGGTGCACTTCGGTCGACCGAAGTGGAGCTTCGGTCGACCGAAGAAGACCTTCGGTCGACCGAAGAAGACCTTCAAGAAATGGTCGACCGATACAAGAGATCCCGAGAGTGTGAAGATGGTTTGGTCGACCGAACCCCATTTCGGTTGACCGAAACAGGAGATCCCGAGTAGGTTCGGTCAACCGATACATCATTTTGGTTGACCGAAGTGGCTTCTTCGAGCCCTAAAGCTGGAACTGACATGCTGCACTTTGGAAATGAAAGGAAAACTAAGATGGGGACTTTAGAATGATTCAAACGTGGGCTAAACCATCAAAAATGAGACATTCCACGATCATGAACATGAGTACTATCGCATAATCAACTTATAACATCTTTTAAAGTCATTATATGAAGTTATACACAATATTACATTAATCCCATTTACATTCAATGAAAACTACGTTTCATTCTTAAGTTACAAAGCCATGAATATTAGCATTTGTTACATTCTCATATGGTTATACACCGAATAGCCAAAATACAAAATAGCAAAATGATCTTCTAACAACTTTCAAGCCTGCGGTGGATTATCATCCGCCAATTCCTTTCCATGACCTGAAAAATGATAAGTATATGGGGTGAGCAATTTGCTCATTAGATGGCACTTAAGACATGCCACTTGTGTCCCCATGAACCCACAACAAAGAATAAAACAATGGGAATTGGGATCATACCATGTCGGGATATTGTAACATACTAATCAATCTCAAGTATAAGCAATGTAATGCAATGGATTGTAATGCATATCGATGTCACTGTGATGTTTCTGATTTTCAGCATTTTTCAATTTTTCCAGAAATTTTGTCACCGCAAGGGTATTTCGGTCTTTTTATGTTTCGCATACGGGTAATTTCAGTTGAGTCCACTTGCATTTTGTATATTTTATTTTATGAGATTTATGTGGCATTTACTTGGTGGTGTATTACATGTATATAGGTGGTGAAAAAATAAAAGTAAAGGAAAAAGGAGAAGTCAAAGATTGGTGGTGGGCCCACCACCATTGTTTAAGTGGTTTAGAGACCACCTTTGCTCTTTCATTTTTCTCTCTCACTCCCGTAACTCCTTCCTCTCTCTCATTTCTTTTTTTTTTTTTCTTTTCTTTTTGAGAAGCAAACTTTGAAGCTTGATTCCATTCTCATTTCTTGGTGATTTTGAGTGTCGTTTGAGGCGAAACGGAGAACACGATGAGTTCTACGTGTTACCAACAATTTCAGATTTGGTGCTTCCTTTAGATTCCGAAAATCTAGACCCGTTTTGAGGGTTTTGCTCAAATTTGAGGTAGGGGCCGTTAATCCATGAAGTCTTGTGCTTTAGTGAGTTGATCTACTTAATTTGTGTCTTAGAATGCTTAATTATGTTAATTATAGTTTAAATTGACTTGATTGAGATATGTGAACATGTGAGAATGTGTGTTAAATAGGTTGTATGAAAAACATGCTTATATGTTGAGTTCTTATGCCTATTATGTTGTTAACATGCTATAAATGATGTATGAGAACATACTTAATTGTGTTGTGAGAAATTTCTTAGTATGATTGTAATAAAAGTATGAGACACATATGCACATCATTGGGTTTGCATGGAAGGAATCGTTTTGAATTGAAAAAAAAGGGATTTTGGGGAAGAAGTTTGATTAAAGTATTTTGTGAAAACCCAGTCGCCGTAGGGGTACCAATGGGTCGGAAGGTTAATATAGCCTAGAGGGAACTAGGGAGATTGCCCTAGCGTGGTTGAGCTAGTTGGGCCATATAATGATGCCACAGGGGTACCAAGGGTCAGGGACACTAGCCAATCCTTCTCTCGTGTCGCTGCGGCGGGGTCACTAAAGGGCGGGTTATATTAACAGTTTACAAGTGATGGTTTTGATTATGAAAATGGGGAGCGACATTGGCATGCATTACATTCCCATTGCATTATGTTACTTATGTTGAGATTGATTATTATGTTGTGGTTTCCTTACATGGCTTGATCCCCATTCCCATTGCTCTATTCTATGTTTGGATTCACGGGGACACAAGAAGCGTGTCTTAAGTGCTACCTATTGAGCGATTCGCTCACCCCATTATAATTATCATTTTTTAGGTTACGGAAAGGAACCGGTGGATGAAAATCCTCCCCAATCATGACGAAGTGATCGAAGTTCACTATTTTGTTATTTTGTATTTTGGCCATTCTTTTGTATACTCAATGTTTTTGAAATGTAATCAATGTTAACATTTATGGCCATGTAATATAAGAATGAAGCTTACCTTTTATTTGATGTATATGAAACTAATGGAATCATTGTATATGTATAAATTTCCATGAAACTGTACTAGGTGTCGTAGTACATTAGTTGTGTGATGATATTCTATTTCAGGGCCGTAGAATGACCGATTTTAGATTGTTTTGTTTAAGTTCGGAGCATTTTGAAGTCTTCATCTCAGTTTCCTTTCACTTCTTTAAGTGCAGCATCTTAGTAATAGGTTCTAGGCTCGGAAGAGCCATTTCAGTCGACCGAAATGGCACATCGATCGACCGAACCACCTGCAGACTCAGCATTTCCCTTTTCGGTCAACCGAAATGGGGTTCAGTTGACCGAACTGTTTCTAGGCTCTCAGGATCTCCTTTTTTAGTCAACCGAAATGGGGTTCGGTTGACCGAACCACCCTCTCACTCTCGGGATCTCACTTTTGGCCTTCATGTTTGAAAAAGGGTTGCTTCGGTCGACCAAAATGCATTTGTTGGCCCACTTTGCTCTTCTTTCATTGTTCTTCTACTCTCGACTCTTGGGAATTTGTTTTGAGCCCTTATGAAACTTAATGATGATCCAAAAGGTGACGTTTAACGCTAGAAATGTTGAGTTTGACCTAGTGACTTCGGGTTCGAGTCAGGACCCGGTCAACAATTCGGACCTCCGGGTGCGGGTCGTTATAATCACTCCCCATTTTCACTTTCAAACTGTAAATATATAACCCGCCCTTTGGTGACCCTGCAGCGACATGAGAAAAGGATTAGCTAGTGTCTCTAACCCTTGGTACCCCCGCGGTGTCATTATGGGGCCCAGCTAACTCAACCACGCTAGGGCAATCTCCCTAGTTCCCTCTAGGCTATATTAACACTCCGGCCCTTTGGTACTCCCGCGGCGACCGGGTTTTCATAAAACATTTTAATCAAAAACTTCTTCCCAAAATCCTCTTTTTCAAATCAAAACGATTCCTTCCATACAAGCCCAATGATGTGTATATGTGTCTCGTGCTTTCATTGCAATAATACTAACAAATTTCCCACAACACAATTAAACATTTTCTTATACATCATTTATAGCATGTTAACAACATAGTAGACTTAGGAACTCACATACAAGCATGCTTATCATACAACTTAAATTAATACACATCCTCATATATTCATACATGTTCAATCAAGTCAAAGTAAACTATAATCAATACAATTAAGCATGCTAGAACATAAATCAAGTAAATTGACTCACTAAAGCACAAGACTTTGTGGATTAAGGACCCGTTACCTCAAGTTTGTGCAAAACCCTCAAAATGGGTTCCAAATTTCAAAGTCCCAATGGAGGCCCAAAGCTGAAATTGTTGGTACCCACATGTAGAGTTCGTCATGCTCTCCGTTTTGCCTCAAACGACACTAAAAAATTCCAAGTATTGAAGATGGAATCTAGACTTGAAGTTTGCTTGTGAGAATGGAAGAAAAATTGCAAAGAAAAGAGAAGAGAGAGAGACTTATGGGAGAGAGTGAGATTTGAGACCAAAATGTGGTCTCTAGATCACATATGTGATAGTGGTGGGTCCCACCACCATCTTTTTATTTTCTATTTTTCTTTTGATTCAATTTCTACACCACACATACCTATATGTACACTTTTAATTTGCAACCACTTAAAACATAATAAATAAAAATAATTATGATGCAAATGGACCCAAATAATTTCCCGTACGAAAAATGTGAAAATACATAAATGCCCTCGCGGCGACGAAATTCCAGAAAAATGAAATATGTGAAAAATTGGAAACATCACAGCAACAACATATAAACTGGAGACATACCTAGACTTTATAACTAGTGGAAACTCTATGCTACATCTGAAATTAGTTTCCTGATGTCACTATGAATGAAGAAGATGAACTCGTCAAATTTTGTTTCTTCGCTTACTGGTTTTCGTCCTTCCTTGCTTCTTTTGGTTCCTTCCAAAAGTGTCGACAAACCATTCATGATACCATGTGGTCAGAGTGTGCCTAATGATCAGCCCAACTACCAACCCACCTCCATACCCGGTGCATATCACAATCCAATCACTTTTGTCAATTGAAACCCATGAATCATCATCATCACCACCTTGCTTGAATTTTGAAATTGTTGGTGGTGATGCTTCTAAATTGCCACATTTCTTCGACAAAGGCTCTCCACACAATCCTAAATTCCCTTCATACGAACTATTTTCAAGTGTATCAAATTGCCTTCCCCGTGGAATAGAATCTGTGAAATGATTATGAGAGACATTGAAGATTTTAAGGAAGTTGAGTCGAATTAGCTGCAAAGGTATCTCTCCTAAGAACTTGTTTTAAGAAAGATCCAATGATTCAAGCTTTGTTAGATTCCCCAATGAAGATGGAAGTTGACCAATGAGATTGTTGTTGAAAAGGTTGAGCATGTGAAGACACTTAAGAATCCTAATAGAATCCGGAATCTCTCCTTCAAATCGGTTACTCGAGAGATCAATGGCAGTAAAGCTATTTAGGATATACAAATACACTAGTGGCATACCTTTGTTTGTCAGTGACAACGCGTAACTACTGTAATTGTTAACAAGATTGTCTACTCTCTCAATTCTTCCAATGCATGCCGATTGATTAACATCAATAGTTTTCATGGCTGTCCAGATCTGGAAGTAATCGGAAGGTAACTTACTAGTGAAACCATTATGAGAAACATCAAGAACGTGCAACTTGGGAAAAGCAAATCTTGTGTCAGGGTTCCATATTGTACCATGGAATCTATTGAATCGCAAAATCAGAATCTTCAACTTTGAAAGTGTTCCTAGCCAAAAGGGAAAAATATCATTGATCTGATTGTTCCCAAGATCAGGACTCTCCAGAAGTGAGCAATTGATCAATGATCTTGGCACTGGCCCTTCCAATTGGTTTTGACTCAAATTGATTATCATTAGTTGGGTTCTATTCTTGTATGTTTGAGGAATGGGGCTGCGCAATTTATTGTTTCGAAGATTCAATAATGTCAGACTATCAGAAAAATTGCCCAAGCATTGGGGAATGATTCCACTCAGGCTGTTATAAGATAAATCCAGGATATAAAGAGAACTTGCTTTGTAGATTAGTAGTGGAATCTGCCCAGTCAGTTTGTTGTTTGTGACATTATAAACCAAGGTGGATGATGGTGGGACGGGGAGTGATCCTTGCAGCTTGTTAAGACTAAGGTCTAAAATGCACAGTGTGCCCCATGGAAGGACTAAAGGAGGAGGTTGGTGAAAGCTAGTTATAAAGTTTTGAGAAAGGTCAAGGGTAGACTGAGTTTGTGTACTCATGTTCCATATCCATGTAGGCAGGGGGCCTTGAATGCAGTTGTTGCTGAGGTTTAACAGTTACAACTTATCTTGAGTTTTCAAGAAATCTGGAAACTCAATTAAGTTGTATGACACCAATTGGAGATCATTAGACTTTGGAAGGGTGGAATTGGTGTAATTGCTATCGCCGAGTAGTGTGTGTTGGTTATATGATAGCTGAAGAGCAGCAAGATTTTTCAAGGTAAGAAATAAGTTTGGCTTCACTCTTCCACTTAGGTTGTTGAAACCAATAGAAAGAATTTGTAGATTTACAAGTTGAGATATCGACTCTGGAATGGGACCATGTAACATATTATATGAAAGGTCTAGCAATGTTAATTGGGTCAGATTCATTAGCCAAGAAGGGATTTGACCAGTTAGCTGAGTAAACCTCATGTACAATCTTTTAAGTTGTGATAGATTACCGATCTAAGACGGTATTGACACTATTGAGAAGTTGTTTTCAGAAAGGTCTAGAGAAACAAGTTGTGCAAGATTACCAATTGAAGTTGGTATCCTCCCTGAGAAGTTGCATTCTCCAATATTCAATTCATTCAATGAGTCTAGATTTCCGATTGAATTTGGCAGCTCCCCTGAAAAGCTTGTGCCTCCAAGTCTCAATAACTTGAGTGGCCACCTCCTGTGGAACTCGGGTAAATAGTCGCTGAGATTTTTATTGTAGGAAACGCTAAAGAACTCTAGGTTTGGTAGCTTAAAAATGCCTACTGGAAATTCATCGTATAATCCACAATTTTCAAGAAGTAGAGATGTTAAAGAAGAAAAATTTGCCAAAATCTCAGGTACCGGAGAAGCTATGTTCACCTGATTGAGGTGAAGTTGTTTTAAATCCGTCAAGTCCTGAACCAAGCTTGTTAGACCAGGCATTAAGAGCTCCAGATTTGGATTTCTTGAGAGATCAAGAGAAGTTAATTTGGTTAAATTTGAAATTTCCAAAGGAATTTGACCATCAAATATAGAAAATGAGAGATTGAGATAAGTTAATCTCGAAAGAAGTCCAACGACAGATGGGATTTGAGAGTCATTGAAGTAATTGTCAGCAAGGTTGAGTCTCTGAAGGTGAACAAGGCAGAAGAGGGTGTTGTTGGAGTTGATAAAACCAGAGAGAAAGCTGCTATTGAGGTCAAGGCCAATGACACGGCCGGTGTCATCATCACAAGTGACACCGTCCCATGAGCAGCAATCACTGCTACTAGTATTCCACGATGCAACCTTTGGATAAGCTAAAGGATCCACATATATAGGTATAGACTTTATAACTGAAAGGCTTTAACTGAAGTACAACAAAGTAGAGCCGTCATCGTGGTGGCAGAGTGGCTTCTGTTGGTGGAGAGAAGGGAAAGAGTGAACAAGCATTAAGTAAGGAGATGTAGTGATGATGAGTAGGAAGAAGAGCAAGTAGTGCAAGAATAATAATATTGGTGAACACCCACCCATTCTCAATTATATGATATATAAAATTCTCTTTCTTTGGCACTTATATAAGTATATATGATAATCAAGAGGTGGTGTTTATATAGAAGAATATCAAAATGATATATATATATATATATATATATATATATATAAAAGTGCCAAAGAAAGAGAATTTTATATATCATATAATTGAGAATGGGTGGGTGTATATATATATATATATATATATATCATTTTGATATTCTTCTATATAAACATGTATATATATGTCAAGTATTGCAAGAATAAGGTCGAGTCAAATCAATACTAGCTAAGGTCTTCCAAAAAATCATCACCCCGCACATGAAACACACACACACACAAGAAGCTATTATTGGGATACGACTGGGTGCCCATCGTGTTTCTCATGTGTTTGAGCACCTATTTCCCAGAAAAGCTTTTAGAGATTTATATATATATATGTCAAGTATTACAAGAATAAGGTCGAGTCAAATCAATACTAACTAAGGTCTTCCAAAAAATCATCACCCCGCACATGAAACACACACACACACACACACATAAGAAGTATTATTGGGATACAACTGGGTGCACATCGTGTTTCTCATGTGTTTGAGCACCCATTGCCCGGAAAAGCTTTTGGAAATTTCCTCTCACCATCTTTCTTTGTAATTCAGCTATCCAAACTTTGTCAATGTGACATGACATGTCACAAGACAATGTGAAGAATGTGAAGGAATGTTTGGTGATTTTAACGGTGTGCTAGAGACCCACATAGACTAAAGTTCACAAAACTAATTCTAAAGACATGATCAAACACAATCTGTATCACACGAATCAGATAATGTTGAGAAGTAGGAAAGACTCTTTCCCTAAAGCTCATTGGTGCTTCCAAATGACAACTTTTCACACTAACAAGTTTGTAATTAGAAAAAAGAAGATTTAATATATAAATAGATTGGAATCAAAATCATCCACCACCTTCCCCACCACAACTAATGCATGACAAAGGGGAAAGTAAAAATCTTTGCTTTGTAAATTGGACTTTCACTTAGTTAGCACTTGAAATTTGAAAGTAAAAAAAGTGAAAGTGAAATGAAGGAAAATTAAGTTTCCAAGTCAATTTGGTTAGCACTTGAAATTTTTTTCAAAAAAAATTATGTAAAATTATTATTTTATAATTTAAATAGCATGTAATTTACCATAAAGACGATAAGGTAAGTTCACAAAACTTTCTCAATAAATCAAAATTTTCTTGTGATTTTTGGAAGAAAATTTTAAGGGAAAATTAGGTTGTTATGGAAAGTGATTTTCCTCAAAATTTTCCTTTTCCTGTTAACTAAACCCCTAAAATGTTTTTAAAAATTCTATTTCCTTTCTTTTCTTACTATTTCCATCTAACCAAACGAAGCCTAAAGATGGCGTTTATAAGAATTAAATATAAATCTTTATCAACAATCTTGGGAGCATAGAAAAAAGAAAAACTAAAGGATTGTGAGAGTACGATGGCAAGAAAGCCAACAACAATAATGATATTATATATGTGTAACAACCCGAACCCGATGGTCCGAATCGCTAACCGGGTCCTTACTCAAACCCGAGATCGTCTAATGGCACTATGGTCAATTCCAAAGTCGATACATAATATACGTGTCATCCCAAGGCTTACACAAAAAAAAAAAAGATCGCATATAAAAGAGATGTCAAAACAATCCACTAACCCGTCCAAACTTGTGGAAGAGCGTCATCCGCCACTTCCTTCCCGTGACCTGAAAAATGTAATAATATGATGAAGTGAGCCAGCCGCTTAGTAGGAGGTGTCTAAGACATACCTTTTAATGATCCCATGAATCCACACAAAGAATAGAGTACAAGTAAACGGGATCATGCAATGGGAGTCCATATAACATTAATAACATAACAATCAATACATACAGTCACATATCACAATTCTTCAAAACCATGCACATGATATGAAGTGTGATTCATCCCATCCCAAACTTAGTATATACTGACCCAACACTTACTTTTCGAAAACCCGCTAACTGACTTTACCAAGGTAAGATTGATAGTTATCGCCGGTTCCAAAGCCGATAACCGTTATAAGGCCTAGTATCAATTTTTTCACGCCCTACACCGGGCTGAGCACCCTCTAGGTCAAGCTAGCCCCGGACTCGGGAAATCCGGTTCATTTTAAATAAGATATTTCCCCTTTCAAAGAACAACCTTTCCAAAAGAAAACTTCATTTTCAAACCCTTTCCAAAATTTCCTTTTTCTTTTCCAATGAATACATGAATGCTTCATACTACCAAATGCCAACTCAACAATAAAATTTCATACATTTTATCTACATCATGCTCACATAATTAAAAGAAATTCTAAGCATTAACTTTCACAATTACAACTTCAATTTTCATGGCAATTGTAAATATAAAGCACACCACAATTTAGTACTAAGCATGCTCCTTCACAATTCAAATAAATACACTTGTAATAGAACATTAATCCATAAAGCACATCCATCACATTTTATACATTAAACAATAATTGCCAAGGACAAAATACACAAATTGAGCATGCTATTAATAAAATTCATAAAGGATAATTCACAAAAAAATCAAAGAAATATGTATTAGAATACCCCTACCTCAATAAAGATAAAAAGGCCCAATTTGAACCCAAAATTTGAAATCCCAAATGGTGGCCAAACAATACTTTGCTCCGATCAAAATGAAGGTCTCGACGTGTAATGTTTATTAAATGTGCATATGTATAAAAGAGATATTTGTTTTTTTTTGTGGACCCTACAAAGCACTAAACATATTTTATATCACACACATCATTTTGTAGCCATTTTTACTCCAGACTCGGGACTGAGCTTCCCTTTTTTTTTTTTTTTTTTTTTTTTTTTTTTTTTCTTCTACCATTTCAATCTTTGATTACTTCCTCATTTCTTGGAGTTTTTGGGAGCCGTTTGCGGCAAAATGGAGAGCACGGCGAGATCTTCAAGTGGGTGTAAGCAATTTCAGTTTTGGTGCACTCTAGGGAGTTTGAGATTCTAGGGTTCTTGGGCTCAAATTGGGGGTTTTCATCAAATTGAGGTAGGGGTGTTCTAATCTACAACTTCTTGGCTTTTTGTGAATTTTTCCCCTTAAATTTGATCCTAAACATGCTAAATTTTGATTACCTAGCTTGTTGTTGTTGTAGTTATGTGTAATTAAAATGATAAATGTGTTCCATGTGTTATTTGACTTCATATACATGTCTATTTTCATTACGGTAAATAAGCATGCTTAGTGTTTGATATGTTGTATGTCCTATGATTATTTATTTATTTATTGCCTTGAAAAAATTGATGCTATGGTTATAAATAAATAAATAAATAAAATAAATGAATGCTTAGAAATTCTTATTGAATTGTGATGATGATGTAAATGAAATGTGTGAAAGCCTATAGTTGAATTGATAAATTGAAACACACACATTCATGCATTCATTGGGAAAGAGAAAAGAGGAAAAATATTTTTAAAACAAACGAAATTATTTTGG